CTAGTGTGTTGTGACAAGTCTCGGTAAACATCTCCAGTAAACACTGATAAAAGCAGACTGTTCGTGTCTGTGTAAAGTTTTTTTGTTGCAAGGTTTCCTTTTAATCGCTTGTAATAAAAGTCGTGCTTGAGCGTCTCAGGCAAATCAAGGATATCCACACTGCAATAAATGAGTTTATCGTCATAAATGTGATACTGGTTCTGAAACGGTGGTGTAGCCAGGGGGTAGTGGTGGGAACATGCCCCCACAAATCCCCGGTGCCCCCCAGGTGCCCTCACTGAAAAAAAAAAAAAACAACAACGGACAAATGGATATTGAACAAGGCTAACATAATTTTGCCTCCCCAAAACACGACAAGTTGGTGCCCCCCCGAAGAAGCGTGTGCCCCTTTTGTATCCCCCTAGTAAAATCACAGCTACGCCACTAATCTGAAAACCCTTAATGATTCCTGCTCTTGAAGAATCTGCTTCGATCTTTCTGGGCTGTTTAAAATGTTTTAAAAAATTATGACAATTTTTCTACAGATGGTCAGTTTAGAATATGTCAATTTTTTGGAAGAATTTGTAACTAAGCAATTTATGCTGTAAAATAAAGTTAATCTTAAGGTGTATGTAAAATCATATTGAAATCGGAGGATTTCGGTTATTATTAATTTTTTTTTAATTTGAGACTTTATTTGGTAATGGCGTCACAGGTCACTGACGCGTGTCAAATGTCATCTTTACTCTTGATTCACACAGCTAAATTTCCACATCATTGAAAAGAACATGTTCTTCTGATTAGTTGGATACCACATTGCATGTATTCAATGAAAAATGACAGGTTTGTGTGTCATTTTTACTAAAAGGGTGGAATTTTAAGTGAAAACTGTCCATTTTTGTTGATCTCTGCCTTGAGCGCATGGAAGGGCTGATTCCGCTAAAAACTGCCAAGTATTTATTATTCCTCAGTGTCTACCAGCACAGCAATTTCCATCGAAATCAGAAGACGTAAGGTCAAAAAGTGTTGGTCTGTCATGGAATGGCCCATAGTTCAAACGCCACACACATCTAAAGCTTGAAGGAACAACGTGTCGGTCGTGACCAATTGTTTAGAAATGAAAGTTTGCTACAAATGGTGGGCTCTAGTGTAGTATTCTAAAGTTACGCTTTTTATTTGATGCCACCGTAACAAATTATGTAAACCTGTCAAACGAGTCCATGTATACGGGTACACACCTTTTTGCAAGACTAACTCGATTCTTTTGTGTCCTGTGCAAAGTGCACCCCACATGACGTGACAAAAACTACAAGCTTTGTGCAATTGGGTTTTGGTTGGGTTATCCGGATTGGTAATTTGTTTCAGGGTCTAACTTTGCTAGCATAGGTTCAAATGCTGGCGGTGGTGGAGGAGGAGGAGGAAACCCTGTTCGGAAAATTGTAAAAAAGCCGTTTGGTCAGATATGAGAATCAAAGACTGCTAAGACTTTCCTGCAATGGCTCAGTTGTTCCCTACAGTCGATTGTAGTCTCCATGTTATTTTGTAAAATCATACGGTAGTAAATGTGTATGTACTTGGAACATCACCAACGCTGTTCACAGTACAACAGGCAACCCCAACCACATAAAAATAAAGCAGCAGTATGTTGAAATTTGCGGTTCATGGGAGATCCTTTTCATCTGTCAAAGATTAAAGATTACTTACCACTGCCCATGTTTGGTTGGGATCGCAAAGAAGACAGAGTTGAGGACGAATGGGATGTCTAAAGCCTGCGCCAACAGTGGGCTACAAGGTATACAGTCGTCTGCAATAAGCATGTCAAATCTCTCCTCGTGTAGCCGTTTCATTGTAGCTGAGTCATTAAACAGGGCGTCACACTCCCGGAAGAGCGCGACACGGACTACACGACTCAGCTCTTCCGAGTTAGCCGAGAAACCTTTCATGGATTTACTGGATAGAGAAAACAAAATGTCTGCCTTGTCCTGTTTGGTGTAGGACGAGTTGAAGACAACGTGTGGGAACAAACCGACATCGTTTTCCCAGAGGGTAGAGGGATTACAGGTGCTGATAAGAGAAACAACGCCATGACCGTGCCTGACTAGTGCTCGGCCTAATTTGGCAAGGCAGAGGTAGTGGCTGCCTCCCGTGATGGAGCCAAAAAGCAGGAATTTGTACTTTTTTTTAACAGAATTTGCCTCAGCACTGGACAGAGCTGGCAAAATGGCGAAAAAACAAAAGCCAAAAGCCAGCACGGCAAGGATTGTTCGAGACATTGTTAAATCACATTCAGTCTGTTGAATTGACAGAGAAACTGATTCATATATACATTTTTTTCGGGGGGGTGCAAATTGTCGTATCAGTACATGGGCAGAAGTCCAACGCTGTGATCCAGTAGATCACAACGTTGTGTAAGCAAATGGTTATGGACTATCACTTCCAGGTCTACAACATATGCCCCAAGCTCCTTTCAAAGCCCCAAACCCCACCAGGCCAGGCAAAAGTACCTTTGTCTGTAACAGTCTATCCACATCAAAGAGATCCACCAGATTGAGATTGATTTATGACAGGCCATGCCCTAGAATTGCACGGGGCAGTGTAAATATTATTATCTGCTGAGGTGTTTGGTAATGATCTGTACACAATTAAATGGACCTTGGCCAAGGAACGGCAACAAACGTTTAAAATTGCTCTGGCTCAAAGTGAAGCCTGACTGCATTTTCTATCAGGGGTTGAGCTTTTAGGAGTTTTAGAGTAACTATTTTCCGTCAATTCCACAGTAATATTATGGAAATCAGACATTCTTTTGGAAAACAGTTTTTTTTCCGAGACGGGGTAGCCGAAAAATGTGTACTTTTCCAATTTTATCCTCAATGCAAGTGGCTGGCACAAATCTATATGTTTTACCTTCAAGTGAGCGTAAGAGTAAAGTTTTTCGTTTAATGAATCTGATTTGAAGGTGAGTAGTTCATATTATTTTGCCAGCAAGAAAAATGCAAAAGGCAGAAAGGCGGCAGAAAGGCGCCGAACTTTGCCTTCGATCACATGGACTTTACTCTCGGGATCAATAGAAGGCAGTTTATCAAAACGATTTTTTGTCGAGATTTAATTGCTCTTATGTAGAGATATGTCTGAAAGATGTAGATTACAAATGTTCTTTGAGCTTACCATTTGTCCCTGCTTAAAAATGGAAGCATACATATCCTTTTTCACCGACTTTTGACAGCCTTGGTGGTGATTACCATCCCAGATTGCGTGTTCATTGATGAGTCTCATGCATCTCCCGCAGGGGTGCTGTAAATATCAGGTTATGAAAAGAACAGGGATGATGTGCAAATTGGAATTTATTTGCTTTTACTGCCCCCACATGCCATTTCCAGAAAAGTTACAATAGTTATGATATAATGTTTTCAGTTTTACCATTTGTAAACTAGGACAGCTGGCATGAAAAAAGACAGGTGTTACAAGGAACTCTGCACAGAAAGTTCGCGATGTAGGCTTAAAAGATATTTAAAATTGCACACGTCCACACATTGTTCCCCTCTCTCAGAAACACTTCCTGATGCATTTCTGGGTAGGAGTTAATTGTGGCAAATGGAGAGAACTGATTTGAAAATCACCTTAAAAATTTAACCCTGAGTTGTAACGATGGAGAATAAGGAGCATTTTCTCAATAAGCAGAGAAAAAAAAAGGAATGCCCGCACTCCGTAAGGAAACAAGCAGGTGTGTGCTTTAAAACCCTCAGTAGAGGAAGTGGCCTCTCCCAGCGAGTCCATTGGAAATAATTAACATATTACCTTTTTTTCTTAAGTCCAAATTCCACTACTACTTATGATATCCTACCCATGAACATGCTGAAAAGCCTGGTTTAGTCATTTTACAGCCAGGGCCTCCCCTAGCCAGAATAAATGCAAAAAACCCACACGGTTTTTTTAGCCAGCCTCCAGGCAATTCCCATGGGACTGTGTAGTAATGGGTCCCTTGTGCACAACCTAATGGGCTGTTTACAAAACGGTGCCTGGGGCAGGCAGTGGAACGTTCTTTATCAGTGACAGCTGTCTGGAACTTGTCAGAGGCCTCTGTCGGCTGTCTTTGAAGTCTTATTTTTGTTGGGTGGGTGTGTGTGGTGGTGGTATGGCTTGGCTGGCGCGTGGCGAGGGCCCCCCTTCAAAACCGCATAGCTTGGGAAAACGGCCCCCAAGGTACTGTGATATACTTTTGGTGGGTTTTGGTGGTTTGTAAGATCTGTAGAGGCAATGGGACAACCTCTAAAGCATTAATAAACCTTCAGGACGGAATCAGGGCGGACTCAGGGCTCTGCAAACCTGAAAAATGCAATGGACTCGACGGAAGAGGCCGTCCCAGCCACGGTGTAGGTTTGACCTTGGAAACGCCGCGTAGGGTTAACACGAGTCACACATTGCTCTCGCAAGAAAGAAGATGCACGTCTGCAGACATGCAGAATAGGTGAATTGAATTGGCGGCCACAGTACTGTTGTACTCAAACTAATTTGTAGCAGTCTGGATTTTCTTGATTCCTCTCCTTGAAAGATAAGGTGTAGCTGTTGCGTGAACCTCCACATGGTTTGGGCGTGTACACACTCACCCACACACAAAAGTGTGTATCTGCCTGCAACTAGGGACCCCCTATTGTTCCTCTTTTGTTTGTAACTTTTTTTTAGAAGACCACCTGTTTTGTACACAGTTGTCAATCAGGGACCCTCTGTCAATCGGGGACCTTATTGTCCGCTATTGTTCAGGTTCCCCAATTGAATGCAGAATCAAACTCACTCACACCCACACATCCCAACAAAAAGTCGTGGGTTGGATTCCCCAGCCCCTGGGAGCAGAGGTGGAATTGCTCATCTTGAGTGGGTCAGGTCAGCACAAATGGACGAGCGATCTATCGCCGGGGGTGCTGGCTCACGCCAACATTTGTGCTTTGAGGTTTGGATAAGAGCCATTCTCTCCTCCATGGGCTCTTGTATTGTTCTTGTTGATCCGGTTGCGGATAAATACATGTGCAGCAGCTTTCATTATTGATTCAATCAATATAGAGGCCCTGTTGCTATACCTTGTGACTCGGACCAAGCTTTTGCATAGCAACCATCATCTCTGGACATGACTTTTCCTTTGGGCCCTTCGTATCCGTTAAAAAGAGCGTATTGGTGTAAAGTGTCTCTTATGTACTAAGCAAAAGCTTGCACCGTATAAAGAGGTATAGCGTCACTGTCTTGAGTATTAATAACTAAAATTGCTATGTTAAGGTAAATTTACAGAACTCAGTGTACCGGATTTTATTCAAATTTAGCAAAAGTTCTTTTTTTAGCTCTCAGATGAAAGCATTGCTCCATACGCAACTTTAGCACTAGAATATCTAGAGTTACACGCTAAGAACTGACCATGCTGTTGTACTTGTCATTAAGTCAAAGGCCTGTCTGATGTGACACAGCAGAGATAGTATATTGTTACATGTTTGTTATCATACCTTTATGACAGTTTACGGAAACCTCTTATTGACACGCACAAAGTAATGATATTATCATCAAGGAAGAAATGTTTGAGATTATGTAATATCAAAACGGATTTTCATAAATAAGAGATGAGCACACATTTCCAGGAACATGTGTCAAAATCTGTGACGTCATCAAACCACAAATCAATGCTGGTGGACCACCTTCTGTTTGTCTCTTAAACAAGTCCTGTGTATTTTTTGTTTTCCTTGAATACCAAGCCTTTAATACTAATTGTTGATAAGGGGTTTCAAATTGGATAGACTAAAAATGGTTGACTGATTTGTATATGGTCAGCACTATTAAAACATTTTTCGGTCATTTCGCAAATTAGACAAAAGGTTGTAAAAATTTTGTGTCAGATGCACAAAGATACTCCAACAAGATCCTGAGACCTTTTGGGATCCTTGGTGGGTTTTGATTTCATCCGACTACGCCCCCATCCCCTCAAGATCTATCGATATCAACCTTATCAATAATAAATGGTATATCCAAAATCGACTGTTGTAAATCATTCTACAGTGCGCACCGACCGTTAAACCAATGATTTCAAATAAACACAGCTGAAAGTTCATTGGCCCATCATCCGTTAGGGACTAGTAAATTTGGATTCCGGTCCAAAATGACTGCTGCGTAATTTCGAGGCTTCAGATTTCACAAAAAGATCCTGCATAACTTTGAATTGTGATAATTTTGCGGAAATTGTCCGTCTGAACTTCAGGAATGAAAATTGGTTTGATTCGGGTTGAAAACGCGGCAAGAGATACTGTGCATAAAATAGATTTAGCACCAGCTTTTGTTAGGCAATAAACTACGGTGCTGTATATACTCCACTTCAGATGTTAATCATATATTTGCTGTGCGCAACGTGGTCTGAAGCGAATGGCATTTGGGAAACCTTTCAACCTAATCTGAAATGACAGGGATGAACACAACAAATAAACTGCTGAATCAATTTTGTACAGGAATTAAACTGTATGTAATCTTCTAATTGTTGTATCAAAATAATGTGAAGCTGGAACTTTACCTGCGACTGCTGAAAGTATCAGAATCCAAGCTACAGCGCCGTCCATTCTCTTCCCGTCAGTAAATAGATATTTCCAGAGTGCAACGGTGTACCATATATTTCTTTTCGAAAGACGCGTGTTTCTTTAGAGAACCTGTGTGCTCTTTGTTTTCAAATCCAAGGTAATCCAAAATGATGGCTAATGGTATACATCATCGAGGACGCATACTACGCCAACTTGTCTTGGCAACTTGCAGCAGGGCAGAGCACTAAAGAAGAAAAACAGCAAAGAGCCAAAATCTATGAAAAATCAAAACCTTTCTCTATGCAAACGTTCTTAGTGTGGGTGGAGCTTAGCTCAGAAGCGGGGATTTTAATAACAGCCACTCAGTTTTACCACCACATTTCAGCTTCTCTGTTAAAACTTCTTAATACTTTGACACTGTCCACTGCAGACAAGGAAACGACATGGGAACGAAGATTAAAATCTGCCAAATTCGTAAACGAACACTAATTGATGCGAAGCAGCGCACAACCTTTCATAACCCCCACAACTTCAACCTGCGTATACATGTTCACGTTGTGAGCAGCAATGAATCTTGGCAATTGCGTTCACTTTAGCAGTCTCCATTGGAAATACGAGTAACTGGAATGAATCCATATTTAAACTCCGGCGCTTCACCATTATCAGAATGATGCAAAATATACCTTGTGTAATTGCGACAAATTACGTGGAAAACAGACCTTCCCTTGCAC